TATTGGGAAGGGATGGAAACCGACATCAACAATTTTGTTGCTACTTGTTAAGTTTGTCAAAGAAACAAAAGTGACAACTTTTCTCTAATAGGACTATTATAGCCGTTATCAATCCCCACTCAAGTATGGACAAATATTTCTATGAATTTTATTGGAGGACTACCCAAATCCATGGGGAAGGATACAATCCTGTTGGTGGTTGACCGACTCACTAAATATGCCCACTTCATATCATTAGGGTGGCACCCCTACACTGCTACCAAAGTTGTTGTGGTATTTCTACAAGAAATTGTGAGATTGCATGGATTTTCGTCTTCCATTGTTTCAGACCGTGACCCTTTATTTTTAAGAAATTTTTAGAAAGCCCTTTATAAAGCAGCAGGAACACAACTAAAGTTTAGTTAAGAATACCATCACCAAACTGACGAACAGACAGAAGTTGTCTTCCTTAGGCCGAATTCTGGTTTAACACCAATTATAATGCTTTCAGAAAAATGTTCCCTTTCAAAGCTTTGTATCAACACGATCCCCCTCACATTCTTAAGGGAACCACCATTCCTTGCCGCTTGGAAGAAGTCAACAAGCTTACATTTGCTTGAGATGAATTATTGGCTACTCTAAGAGAGAATTTGCTGAAATCCCAAGATGTCATGCGAACAAATGCCAACGTGGTATAAATATGTAGTCGGTGATTAGTTGTTCTTGAAAATGCAACCTTACAAAAGGTCCTTAGCGAAATGAATTAATGAAAAACTCTCCCCTCGATTTTATGATCCTTTCCAGGTGTTAAGAAAAGGTGGTTGCTATTACTTACAAATTGGATATTCCATCTCAATAAAAATCATCTGGTCTTTCATGTCTCTCCCTCAAGAAGGCCATTGGTGATTCTTTCCGGTCCCAACCTTTACCACCTATGTTATCCAAGGATCAAGAATTACAAATTTATCCAAACTTTTTTTTAGATATTCCTAAACTACAACCTGACAATGTGGAAGTCTTAATTTAGTGGTAGAATCTTCCTCCAAGTGAAAATAGTTGGGAATATGTGGCTAAAATACAAGAGGTTTTTTCAACTTATCACCTTGAGGACAAGGTGAGTCTTTTAGGCGGGGGTATTGATAAGAATAAGCCTCTATCACCAAGATATATGCTTGCAAAACAATAATCATAGACCACGAGCAACGGGGCACACAACAGTTAAAGGATGCAAAACACCCAATAGTTACAACTCATCCAAGGGGTGTAAGGTCAAAGGATGCGAATCAAGGGGCATGACCCTTGGATTAAAGATACAAACCATTAATAAAATTTGTATCAATTAGGAACTGTTGTCGGAAACAATATAAATAGAAGTAATCCAGATTAGGAAAGGGAGGAAAAAGGAAATTAAGAAGAAATTGTATTGTGGAGAGACAGACTCTCAAAAACCTGTGTTATGGAATATCTCAAAATTATCTCTATAAATTCTGTTCATTTGTGTATGGTTCCTGTCTTACATTATTCAATTTTAAGTTTTATGGTTTTCTAATATTGTTCTGTTTTTTCTCTGAAGTATCTTACCTTAGTAAAAAAATTTGAGCCTTCTTTGCATTTGTATTTTCTATGTTATATCTTCCCATATAAAATTCTTTTAACCTGACAATATTTGGATGAGGTTTCAATTGTTTGCTTCACCATTTGGACTTATGAGTATGAAACATTACATTTAATAAGAACTACACAAATTTTGCACTTCCTATTCTTGTTATTTTAAGGACACAACTGTACGGTGTTTTTTTTTTTAAATTGGTCAACATTACTTACTATTGAATAGTCTTTTTTATACTATGTATGCCATTCTATTCTATGCTGTCTTTGGTTGGAATGTGCTCGCACACTTTCAAATGAGGTTGTTACAATAGCTTCTTTTTGTGCACTTTTTTATGCTTTCTTATAGGGCTCATTTTATCATCCAATAAGAACATAAATCTTTTACTTTTATTATTGTATAATTTTTTTATGAGGAAATAATTTATTAAGCTAGAAAAGGAAGATACAAAAGAGGATAAGATTGTGAAGGACTTTAGATTATACAAATACAACACAACATACCAATCTCTGTGGAGACCTAACAAAGGTCATACCCCTCAATGACCATGAGCATAACTTCACAAAGAAGCTAGAAAAAGTGATGGATGCGAAATGAACCCAATACAAGATTTCAGTCCTAAGAAGATTGTTTCGTTTCTTTCCAACAAAATACATTGCAGCCTGAAAACACCATATGGCTTTCTGGCATCTTTGCTTACAATCAAATTCTCTGAAATGATTACTATTGTAATATCCTTTTTTATCTAAAATTTAAGGGGCACATGGTTTGAACTATAACATGTTGCATGGTGATGACAGGAGGAAAGTGAAGTACGTTTTTGTGCTGTAAGATGGGCAACATCTTTGTTTGATCTTCAACACTGTCCAAGTCGCTTTATTTGTATGCTTGGAGCAGCAGATGCTAAATTAGATATCAGGTATTACAAATTCTTTAAGTGATGATCTGACATGCTATGATGCGTTAAAGTATGAAGTCTTCTTAAAGGGATTGTGTTTTGCTTGTTTTTTTTTTGTGTTTTCCTTTTACATTGGAGAGACTTCCTTATTCTCCCAACTGTTTTTCTTCTTTTATCAATAAAATAAGAAAAAACCCTCCAAGCTTGTTATTGAGCATAATTGTTTCCCAAAGGAGGTGTACTTAATAAACCCTTTATTACATATTTGTTTCAGTATTGTGCACATTGTAATATGAAGCTTTTTTGTAATATGCACATTAAAACGTATGTGCCATGCATAGCTTTTTTGCTCTAGGTTTTAGAGGTAGCTTTGTTTGGTAATATTTCTTTTTTATCATAACTATGTAAAGAGAAAAGGACAAATGCAAATGTGTTAAAATTTGATAACCAGAGAGTCTGATTCCTGTAATGCATTTTTTGTTGCTGTAAATAGCTACATTTATTCCCTAATGATGTTTTTGGAACTATTTTTGTATAAAATGAAAACTTTGAGTTGTAATTATAGCATTATTTAGGTTCCTTGGGTAACTAAGTGTTGATGGTTTATATAACTTGGGTCTTTTATTCAGCATCATTAACTTCAAATTAGATTTTGTTTTCTGGTTTGAAACAGAGAAATGGCACTTGAAGGTCTTTGTCTTCTTAAAAGTGAAAGTCAAATTATTGGTTTTGTGTATCCTAATCTGGGTACGATGCTGGATTACATTCTTCGACAACAACCAAAATTGTTAGAGTCCCGTGAAACTAGAGAGCAAAATCTTGTTTTTTCTTTAAATACATATGTGGCCATGATAAAATTTTTATTGAAGTGCTTCGAGTCAGAGTTGGATCAAAACAAATCCTTCGGAGGATCATCTGAATTTATGTCATCTGTAAAGACACTCTGTTCTATCCTGGAGCATTCTATGTCATTTGAAGGCTCTGTTGAGATGCATGCCAATGCTTCCAAGGCATTGCTTATAATTGGATCACATATGCCAGAGGTCAGTTGTTAGAGTTCTTTGATTGCTTTCTTCAGTGTGTTCATTCTGACACATTTATTGTTAATAGGTGGTAGCATCACATTTTGCTGCAAAGGTTTCGTGGCTTAAGCAACTACTAAGTCATGTGGATTGGGACACTCGAGAATCCATTGCACGTCTACTTGGTATTGTGTCTTCTGCTCTTCCCATCCCAGATGTTATTTGTGAATTGACTTCCTTATTCAGCCAAACACACAAGACAAGGTTTGTATACTGGTGGAACCGTAATTCTTTTGGCTGAGAGAATTCTGCTTTTTCCATGGTTGATATATACTCATGCTGAATTAATTTATTGATAGGTTTGAAACTCAGCATGGTGCTCTTTGTGCGATTGGATATGTAACTGCAAATTATTTGTCTACAACACCTGTAAGCATGTGTAAAATTGTGTAAATCCATTGAACTTGTATTGTTTTTATTTTACTTCATTTAAAATTTTGTAATCTTGAATTAATATGTCCAACTCTTTTAAAACATAAAAATTACATTAATTTTTATCATAAAAGTTATAATCAATATTAATAATTACACACACAAATACAAACATATATATATATATATATATATATATATATAATATAATATAATATTATTGTATAAAAACATAACCCCTAGCATTTTTAGTTAAGAAGCTTAAACTTTGCTTTTTTAAAAAAGTCTTGTTAACCGAAAATGCTATTGTATATATTTTCAGATAAATTTGGTAAGACTTCAAAATCTTAATCATCATAGACCTATGAATCATGATACTTCAATTTGCTTTACTTATCTGGGTCCGATATGTGTCGTGTCGAATATTTCAATGATATTTATCAATGTAATATCCAAGCCTATGAAGTATCAATATTTTTATTTGTTTTAAGTATAATACTTTTGGATACTTCGCCTATATGTATTTTGGTTAAAATGTCCAAGTTTTTAAATTGTTTATATCCAATAAAAGTTCAAGAAACGTATATCTATATGAAACATAGAAACATAAATATTATTTTTTCATAAATCAAAGAAAAAATTGTTCTTAATGAACTATTTTAAAGAAGTAATGAGATTGATAGTGTTATTCCTATATCCAAATAATAGAAAATATTTTATAATGACAATGATTTTTTTACATATATATATATATATATATATATATATTTTTTTCACAATATCTAAGAAATGTGATTTGAAATTTGGATTTGCATGATTGTAGTTTTATATTTATTATGTTTTGATGAATTTTTATATATTTTTAAATATTAACTTATATGTATCTTATTATCTGTATGATATCTAATACTTGCATCGTATCCATGAACAGTAGATTGTGACACACATGGATACACAAAGGTTTTTTATCCACAAGTGTCAATGGGTATCCATAGATGTTTTTAAAATTTTTATCAAATAAAAAATCAACAAATTATTTTGTAGTCTTTGAACAAATAAATGTTGCAAATATCTCTATAGATTTGTAGATTAAAAGTTGAAAAATATAATAATGTCAACCATTGTTATTATTTTGACGTTCTGATGAATTTCCAATTAATTTAGTAGATAAATTTCATGTTCAGAATTACCAATTAATGAAGCCCATAATTTTGAACCTCCTGTTGAGACCCAATAACAGGAATGAGAAAATTCTAACGCAAGTAGGGTTACTATAACTTTAGATATGTGGAGAAATGCTATATAGAAGGACAAGATATTCTAGAGACAATTCGTTACTATAATTTATATTTGTTTATATTTTTAATCAAAATATTATCATTCATTGAGTGTGATAGTATTTTTGAGATTTCTTGTTTACAACTTCAGCTTACTTTTGATGGAGATAGTGAATTATTGAGCATATACTCCTCTCTAGTGCACACACGCTTTGTTTTCTTTCTCTGTATGCATAAAATTTTATCTAATTAGAGCAATGTCTGACAAATAACAAAATTGCTAACTATTTGCAATAATGACCTAGTACTAGATGTTGCTTGTATCTTGGATGGGTTTAACGTAATATCAGCACTGGATGCCACTAAAATTTAATTTGGTTCACAAGATTTTGCAAAATAGGATAATAGGTAAAAGCATGCATTCATCGTAAAGAAAAAGATAAAGACATAGAGTATTTATGATTTCTTTTCTTGAATGCATGGAATCCGTTAAATTCTTGTAAATCTATAAAATCCTTTCAAATCCATATTACAAAATCCTAATCATAAAAGTCTCTTTAAACCATCATTACTTTCTATTACTGTTCTTTGAGAAAGAGAGAGAGAGAAATTCACACTATTCACAGGATTGCAAGAGTCTTTATATAAAATAAAGAGAGGTTTACAGAAATTATAAAAACAGTAACAAAATGATTGAAGTCTTTACAATAGAAAGATACACCATTCACACATTCTTTAAAAATCCTTCTAAAATCTATAGGACTTTATTGTGCAAAAAAGTATTTTGAAATCCCAATTAAATCACCCCTCCTGAGATTTTATACTTTTTAGTGCTAGTTTTATTAGTATGACCTTTGAGTCGTGTGATTCGGATGTTGGTCAATATGCTGCTCTTTGAGCAATTGCCTTTTCTAAAATATACTTTTATCCAATGAAACATAAATCATACTTCTTAGATATATAACATCATTGTTTCGGTTATAAGTATGTTTACACTGTGTATATGCATAATCTTGGCAGATGCCGGAAATACTTCTCCAGGATACAATTAGATGCCTGGTTGATGTGGTTAATTCTGAGACCTCTGCACTGGCTGCTACTGCAATGCAAGCACTAGGTCATATTGGACTACGTATTCCATTACCCCCTCTTGATGATTCTAATTCAGGTAAACTCAAGCCTGATTCGCTGATGAGCTTGTTTTGATTTGGACCTATAATTGAGCTACTTGTTGAGCTAACAATAAGGGTGTCTGATCAATTCTGCAGATGGAATTCTGATTATGTTATCTGATAAATTGAACAAGCTTATTGCGGGTGACGATATTAAAGCAATACAGAGGATTGTTATATCTATTGGACATATATGTGTAAAGGAAACATCATCTACTCAGCTCGATAAGGCCCTAAATTTGATTTTCAGTCTCTGTCGATCTAAGGTAACACACCTTCTCCCTCCTCTTTAATATGATTTGCTTATTTTGGGTGACTCTTGTTGGATTGATATTTGCTTTGATATTCCCTTTTTTTTTGTATCCTTCTTTTAAATTTTTTCTCCATTATTTATTTTTCTTCTTTTTCTTATGTATTGGAAAAGTTAGATTTTGGTTTTTGGGACTCCTTGATCTTGATTGAGAACAATTTGAAGTTATTTTCTTTTATCTTTCTTTTCTTTTTGAGCTAAAACGAGCACTAATGCTAATTTTTCATTATAAGTTGCAGTAACTAAAATGTGTCGAATTTGTGTAACTAAAATTTCAGGTTGAGGATGTTCTCTTTGCTGCTGGGGAGGCCCTTTCTTTTTTGTGGGGTGGTGTTCCTTTCAATGTTGACATTATTCTTAAAACTAACTATACTTCGCTGTCCATGGCATCAAATTTTTTGATGGGAGATTTGACTTCTTTGCCTAAGCAGAGTTCTATCGAACAAAGTGAATATAGTGGAGATTATCATGCTTCTGTGAGAGATGCGATTACCAAAAACCTCTTCGATGTTCTTTTATTTAGTAGCAGGAAAGAAGAGAGATGTGCTGGAACTGTTTGGCTTGTTTCACTTATAAAGTACTGCAGCAATCATCCTACTATTCAGCAAATGCTTCCAGAAATTCAGGTTTTGCATTAACAAAACAAATTTTCTTTTTTCTTCCCACCTTTATAGTAATCTGCAAAACTTCACTTATGCTATTGTATTGTTTTCCATGGTTATATGGGCAGAGATAATAAATAAATATTTGTTTTCACAATTTAAAGATATAGTTCTCCCCATATTTTGGTTTCCTATGTGTATTTAAGAAGGAAATTGGAAATTCCAGGGATCACTTAGTGTGATATATATGTGGATTTGGAAGATGGCCCTTGATCCTTGTAATTTTATTTTGGTTTTGTTCAAACGTGTTGAATATTGTTAAAGGACCTATGAGTCCTTCCAGAATTTTATTATATGATGGTGGGAGTTTATAACCTTTGGTCCTCAAGCAGGAGTTCATGGTCTAGGAATATAAGTTTTGGTTTTTATGTTTAATATCATTACTGAAATTCCTTCAGTTAGCTTATCTTTTGGGAACTAATAGTTTTTAATTTGAAAGTGCTTCCGTTTGTCAGATATAAAATGCATCCCATTAATCACCAATGGAGTAGTTTGATAGTTGATATTGTGTATTTTTCATTTTAATTGCAAGAGGATTTTTGGTTGGGCCAGTCATTCTTAAGATAATGTTTTGGGTTCCTGAATGAAGTGGATCCGTGGCTCTTTTTGTTTTCAGTCATTGTGAAGGTAAATGAGTTACTGTCGTCGTTGATGTATAATGTATGACTCATGAGCTCTGTTGGAGATATTTCTCTTTTATGATTTCTATCATTTATAACGGTTCAATCACAACTAACCATTTAGTAATTCTCTATTTAGTATATATAGGTTTGTAACAGAGAATTACTGGTTTTACTTTTTCTTTTAACATCAATACTCTTTTCAATACACTGGGATCTCCTAAGATACAAATGAAGATTTGAATGTGAATTCTGCAGAGTCAATAGTTATCCCCCAGAAGTTTTCATTTTAGTGTGGTTGTTTGAACATGGAAAGGCTTGTTATACATTTTATATTTTTGGAACTCAAACGCTTGTTTTGGTCTGTGTGGTTTGATTGTGTTTAGAAATAGTCAATTGTCCTCTATTCAGTCAACCTAATAACAAAGTTAGAAATAGTCAAACTTTATGTTTGACCAGTCAGTCAACAGAACTGCGTGCAGTTGCAAAATGACTTGAACTGGTTCTTACCTAGGTTTATGCATCAATTAGAAGCTTTGCAATAATGGGGTTCTGACGTAGGTTTTCAAAAGTGAAATGCAGGGCATCATATTAGGGTGGCATGTGAGGAACAAGTACTTCGTTGGCTATGATCTTTGTTAAAAAGAAAATCGAGTGCAATATATGTAGGCTTTTTTAGAAAGTCTTGATCTGATAATACCTCTTAAAAAGAAAATAGAGTGCAATACTAAACATATATTCTTGATAGCTGGCAATATATTTCCTTTTACATGAGAGATAATATATTTGATTATATTGGACTAGCAGTTGGATGAGAGATTTGTTTCGAATTTAATCCACATATAATCCTTTATCAAATTTTATATTATTACTAAATTCATGTAATTTTTCATATTTGATTTTATTCGCATATTATACTTTATATAATTTTATACCATACTATGAAATTTATTTAATTTTTCATATTCAAATTTTAATCTACATATAATCCTTTATAATTTTATTATTGATTATAAATATTCTATCAAATAACAGTGCCCCACGCCAAATTTTCTATACGAAAAACTTATTGTAACATGGGTATTCCTATTATTTGTTTTGGGTTAATGGTGCTTTTAGTCCCTGAAAAATAGATCACCTTTGGTTTTAATTCCCAACTTTTTAAATCCACGTGCTTTCATCTGTATATTTTTTAAAAGCTAACACGGTAAGGAATGAATGAAAAGTTTTAAAAGTCAAGGACTAAAACCAAAGATGGTTCATTTTTCAGGGACTATAAGCACCATTTGCCCCCTTATTTTATTATACTATGTTCTAGGAACTGTGTTTATTTTGTAGCAGAATCCTGTAACTTGTAATGTTTGATTTACAATTATCAAGTAAATATGCAGGAGGCTTTTTCTCACCTTCTTGGTGAACAAAATGAACTCACACAAGAGTTGGCTTCTCAAGGCATGAGTATTGTGTATGACATTGGTGATGAAAATATGAAAAAGAATTTGGTGAATGCACTTGTCAGCACATTGACTGGGTCAGGGAAACGGAAAAGAGCCATCAAAGTAAGTTGGCAATGTAGTATATTTTTTTAAATTATTTTTTGATGAATGAGGCTTGACGATTTATGATTTTTAGCTTTCTTTCTTTAATTTTGTTGCTTAAAATTACATTCCTGAAGTTTTGTTGTGCAGCTTGTTGAAGACACTGAAGTATTTATGGATGGATCTCTTGGTGAAAGTTCTAGTGGAGGGAAACTGAACACTTATAAGGAGTTGTGTAACTTAGCAAATGAGATGGGACAACCGGACTTAATATACAAGTTCATGGATTTAGCAAATTATCAAGCTTCTCTGAATTCAAAGAGGGGTGCTGCTTTTGGCTTTTCTAAAATAGCAAAACATGCAGGGAATGTTCTTAAGCCATATTTACGTTCATTAATCCCAAGGCTTGTACGCTACCAATATGATCCTGACAAAAATGTGCAGGTAAGTTCCATTTATAATCTGGAAAGCGTGGTACTGAATCTAATCCTTAGAAGAGCATTTTTATTTGAATCCAGAAAAACTCTTTGCGAAGAGCATTTATATAATTCATGCGATTGTCAAATCTCGAAATAAAAATATAGTTTTACCTCCAAACTTTTTTTGTTTGGTTCTCATTTGGTTCCCCGTGGAAGATTTTTCTTTTTTAGCTCTAAAAAATGAATGTGTATTTTTTGTCACCTTTTTCAATAAACAATTCCTCTTTCCTTAGAATGCATTGTTATGCATGATATTCAAAGAGTATATGTATTCTTATTTTCAGGCACTTATTCTATTTGGCTATTGCATTTTTTATGTTTAGGATGCAATGGTACATATATGGAAGTCACTTGTGGATGATTCAAAGAAAACCATTGACGACAATTTAGATATCATAATTGAAGATTTGTTAGTACAATGTGGATCCAGGCTTTGGCGGTCACGCGAGGCATCATGTCTTGCCCTTACTGACATCATTCAAGGACGAAAGTTTTATGAGGTCATTAAGATTACTTTTGTTTTTCTTGGGTTGAAATATTGTGCTTTTCAATGATCAATTCTATTCAAGACAAGAAATCCTTAGAATTATAGTAATTAACTAATTACCCTCGGCAAGAAAAGCCTAATTAACTACTGTGATGGTGAGTCACCATCTGTAAAATGCAGGGCAAATTTTGCCATTCTGGGTTTTGTGATGTTTATCAATGGAGAATAGTACTAGTTCTCCAGGATTTCTGTTCCTTCCTTTTTTTTTTTTTTGTGTGTTGCTTACTTGGCCTTGTTCTGGTGTCATCATATGGTTTATAAGTTTATTTAAGGATTTCAAGTTTTTATTTCCAAGGAGATAAGAGAGCTATTTATAGTCAATGTACTATTTCGTTTCATGAAAATGAATGTCTTTATTGGGTCATTACTGATATAATCATTCTTAATAATTGTAAAATGATTCATTGAATTAATAGTCTCATTAGTCTTCATAAATTATATATGTTATATATTGGACCTGTGGTAATATTATTTTTTTGGATGAATTGGTTATCCATCCATGAGAAAACTGTTAATGGATAGATTAGATAAAATAGTCCTTTCATTTTGCCATCCCTCACTACAATTTGAGCACTAGTTGATTTTGATATATCTATAGCATATCAACAGGTCTTTATTCCTGTGTTTTTGTTTTTCTTTCATCTTGCGCCACCTACAGGTTGGGAGGCATTTAAAGAGATTATGGTTTGTAGCATTTCGAGCAATGGATGACATAAAAGAAACTGTCAGAATTTCTGGTGAAAAATTATGTCGTGCTGTAACTTCCTTGACAACAAGACTCTGTGATGTCTCTTTAACTGAAATGTCAGATGCACACAAAGCAATGGATATTGTTTTACCCTTTTTGCTTGCAGAGGGTATACTAAGTAAAGTTGATAGTGTCCGCAAGGCATCAATTGGAGTTGTTATGAAGCTTACAAAGGTTAGGAATGTCTTTCTATGCCTTAGCTTTTCAATTTACATCATACACTGCTGTTGTTTTTCTTTTAACTTCCTGCCACTGGTTTGTAAATATTTGTATATTTACATTTCAGTTATTTGTTCAAATCTTATCGAATTTTGTAGGGATGTATATGTTTACTTGGCTCTAGTGTGTGTAATTGGAATATAACACAGGACTATTTAAACATATTTTTTTATTCTTATCAAATAGGATGTATGTTGTTCCCTTTTTCCGCTTCTTTGTTCGTCTCCAATGATTTTTCAGGTGTCGTATTTTTGGACCCTTGGAGATGGTATTAATAATCTTACTGATGTTTTGTTTTTTTGTTACTCTATTCTTTGTTTAATTGTTTAAGAAGTACAGCTTATCCTATTTTCTTGTACTTAGCATTCACAATTTTGGATGTTTTTACTGCCTGTTTTAGTGTTAATTGTGAAGTCTCCGCTTTTCCTTTGACTTTGTTTATCTGATTGTGATTGTGTGAAGATTAATGATTGGTTATTATGGAAGTAAACTATAACATAATGCTATTATTCCATTATGTTATCCTGCTGTTAAATCTAATTCTTATTATTGTCTCGCTTTAGCATGCTGGAACTGCGATTCGTCCACATATGTCTGATTTAGTGTGCTGCATGCTTGAAAGTTTGTCAAGCCTAGAAGATCAATCACTCAATTATGTCGAGGTTAGGTTGAATGATATTTTTAATTGCATAACTTCACTATTAACTCTTGTTTGTTTATACATGAACATTTTATGTTTTTCTTTTTATCAGCTTCATGCAGCAAATGTAGGAATACAGTCAGAAAAGCTTGAGAGTTTGAGAATTTCCATAGCCAAAGGCTCTCCTATGTGGGAAACTTTAGATTCATGCATAAAAGTTGTTGATGCAGAATCATTGAACACATTAATCCCACGACTTGCTCATTTAGTGCGATCTGGAGTGGGCCTTAACACTAGGTCTGTTATTAACTTATTATCACATCTTATATATTTTCTTTTGCAATATTGCCTGCTTGAACTGTCTTGTGTCATTTTGTTATTGCATTTTCCCTTGAAAATTTACAGAGCTTCTGTTGATTCAGATAGTGGGTTTAGTAGAGAAAGCATGTAGGATTAGTGACAATCAATAGATGGTAGATGTTCACTGAGTTCTATGAATTAATATATTGTCACCCTTATGATGCTGATGCTCGAGCTTCTTTGTTTTAATGGTTTTTTTATTTTCCTTTGCTTTTCTTGTCGTTAATATTCGGTCCTGTAATTAAGCACATTTGTCTTTCTTTACTACTGCATTTCTGTTTCATTATGAACAGGAAAAAACAAAACAAGTGAATTCAAACTATATTATTTTTTAGAGGGACCAATCTTGTTATTATTCTCTAAAATGGATATCATACATGGCCCTAGCTATCCTTATCCACTAGCACCGATACTATGCCTTAAGGTCCCAGATTCCTAGTTGACACACTGGATATATTCCATTAGATAGAATAATTTATTCTATTTGTTGTAAAGGCCATATTAATTGTGTTTATGATGGTCTCTTTGGCGAGTGCTTTGCAGCTTTAAGGATGGTGTTTAATCCTACATCTACTTGATATATGGCTTAAATGGAGCTTATAAAAGTTGAACAATCCTTAATTTACAGCCAGTTTTGTAGGGTAGTATTAGGCCCTACACTTAAATTCTAAAACAATATTAAAGTCTATTGTTTTATCCTAGATCTATTGTTGGGTAACTGCGTTTCCACTTACCAAGCCATCTTGAAAAGCTTTCTTAATTGCAATCATTCCTAGCCCATCTTAGATGGGCCCTCTTTGGGGGCCAATCTTAATTGCAGCATCAATAGTGGTAGTGTAATCTGACATGAATTAGAAATATGACTTAAATAGAGCTAGGAATGATTGCAATTGAAGCATAATGGCGTGGTGGCATCGACGAATGCAATGGTGCAGTAAACGCGGTGACACGACAAACACCGTGACTGACTGAAATGCCGAACTTAAACACTATGGTGCGATGACATGTCAAATGATGTGATGTGACTGAAATCCGGGATTGAAGTATAATAAACACTATGACACAACTAAAACGTGGTGTCACAACAAATGCAATTAACATAGTGACACAGTGGTGTGGCGAACGAATGACAAGTGGTCCAGGTGCAACAACAAATGTAGTGGTGTGACAAATAATTGATGATAAGCTTGAGTGAAAGTTTAATTTGTAGCGGTGGCGTGGAGTAGAGATGCAGAGATAGGATAACATTAATTAGGATTACTAAATTATTATAATTATTTTTAAAATTTAAAATGAATGGTGGGTTTCAGGTCAACCTGTCATAACCTAGCTCGAACCTGTAGCTTAAGTGAGCCGGGTTCATTTTTAACCCATTATCGGTAGAAATGAAAAAAATTGAACTCAACTTGGTTCGAACCCATGGTGAGCCGAATTGGCTCACGGTTATAACCTATATTGACACCCCTACCACCAATACAACTACTCCTATTACTGTTATGACAATTTAATCACCTTACTATAACCCCATTGCCACTGATGCCACCTCTGCCACCAATTTTCCACTTGAAAAGCTGCAAAATATAGTTTGGCAAAAAGCTTCTTTTTTGTAACCTTTGCTCAAATCATGGTTTTAAATGGCAAACCTAACACACAATTACTGGCTTGTATAGGAAACTTCTGTGATACCCTGATATTTTGGAGTGTCAATCAATCATGGTTCAAGATGCCTACGATTTTTACTTCTCTCCTTGCAGTCAGATAATGAATCTATATTTTAAGCTTCTGTTCTGACAGAAGTACTTTTGTTATATTCATAATTTTCTTTTATAATTAGTCAGGCTTTCTGTGCCTGTGCAGGGTTGGTGTTGCCAATTTCATTTCCTTGTTGCTTGAAAGTGTTGGTATTGACATCAAGCCATATGCAAATATGTTGGTGAGATTGTTGTTTCCAGTTGTTAAGGAGGAAAAAGGTACTGCTGCAAAACGTGCCTTTGCAAGTGCCTGTGCGAAAATCTTAAAGTATACACCAGTCTCACAAGCACAAAGACTTATTGAAGATACTGTAGCTTTGCATTCTGGTGACAAGAATTCTCAAATTGCATGTGCATTTCTCTTACGGAGCTATTCATCCATGGCCTCGGATGTTGTTAGTGGATATCATGCAGCTATCATTCCAGTTATTTTCTTTTCAAGGTTATGAACATTCTTTCTTTTTCTATCTGTTGTGATTTTTTATTTTGATATTACATAAAAACTGTCATTATATCAAATCATAAATCATAAATTTAAGCAGAAATTTTTGTCATTATCTGCCAACCACCCCTTTAGAATATTTGTTTGTTGTTATTGGTGAACATTGGGTGATTCCTTTTAAGTAGGTGTGATCTTCTTGATGTCATGATGGCGCTTTTTATGTATGTAACAACTTTATTTGTCTGTTATATTGTGGAATTGGAAGGATTTTTTTTTTCTTTTGTTTCCCCTATAATTTGTCATCCATGTACCAATCCATTATGCTCTATATTGTTGCATTCTCATCAATTTTAGAAATTATTTCATGTTTGATTGGAAAGAAGAATCTTTAAAATGTATTTGGGAAGTTCCAACTCTAGGTCACTGTAGAACTTACACCAGTTAAGTTCTCTCAATTATTGTCAAGGAGAAACTCTCCTAAAGTTTAAAGTTAGGTGGAGAACAGGGAATAATTTTTATATTTCTGACACAGCCCCCTTAATGTGAGAGATCTTTCTTATATAATAATGGAAAAAGCACTGGCCAAACATATTGTTAGGTTTCTTGATAGAAGAAACCGGTTCAAAAACGTAAACACTCTCACAAAACTATATACTCTTCTTTTATTCGTTTCTCAATAGTCATATAACAAGAACACTATCAAGGGGTGATGTTCCCCTTCTCACAGGACACTAACAATCCTGTCTATACTCTCAACATACAAAACATATGCCCCAAACAACAAAAACCCACCTATATATATATAGTCTTCTTATTAGGAAGACTATAACTGCCTAACCACCCAACCAACCAACTAACTTTCTGTTATTGAATAATGAAAATATTCTTATTTCACATGAATTAAAAACTTTATGCAGATTTGAAGATGATAAAAATGTCTCTGCCCTATTTGAGGAATTATGGGAAGAATATACAAGTGGGGATCGAATCACTCTCCACTTATACTTAGGAGAAATTGTTTCACTTATTTGTGAGGGCATGTCATCATCGTCATGGGCAAGCAAAAGAAAAGTTAGTCTTGCTTTGTTTTCTCCCTTTTCTATTATTTTCATATAACCTCATTCAGCTTAGTGATTTTGAATAGATATTTACTTATTTATCTTCTGTCATTGTGCCTGCAGTCTGCACAGGCTATATGTAGGCTTAGTGAAGTTTTGGGTGAATCTCTTTCTTCTCACCATATGGTTTTGCTTCAGTCTCTCATGAAGGAAATTCCTGGTCGCCTATGGGAGGTAAAATAATGAACACTGCCACTTTTAAGTTTATATATGTTGCAGGAAAACTTGTTATCAAGTATCAATCGTGGACAAATTGCACAAGATTCATGTGCTAGTTTTTCTTACTTCATATGTCAGGGTAAAGACGTGCTATTGCTCGCAGTAGGTGCTCTATGTACATCCTGCAATAAAGCAATTTTAGCTGAAGGTTCCTCCTCTTCCATTGCCATTCTGAATATGTTATCATCTGCATGCACCAGAAAGGAGAAAAAGTATCGTGAAGCAGCACTTTCCTCTCTTGAACAGGTTATTAATTTATTTATAGTGGGTGCTGGTTAGTAATTTTGGGAAAGTTTTCTTTTTTAGGGGTGAATATTGAATTGAAAACCAATTAGGACCCTGCTTTCTGAAAATACTCTGGCGACAACTCCATCGCCAATGTTGCAGTTGAAGGCATGTAATTGTGTATAACTAATAACTAACTTGATAATTGATACCGTTGATCAGTTATGAAATTAATTGATAATTTCCTGTTTTCTGTAAAATTCTCTAGAGAATAGAATGTTGCAATGTACGGAAGAAATTTGCCTGTAAGCAATATCAAGAATTCAAGCAAAAGATAAGTTATTGTTAGATATTGTTTAGATATTATTTAATATTGTTAAGATATTGTTAGATATTAACCATAATATCAAACAATATCTTCTGTTTATTCTGTTACTTTCAGTTACTCTTTTAGTTGTATCTCTCTACTATAAATAGACTACCCTATGTGTGATTTATACACAAGAGAGATTAATCCCAAACTCTATTTCTTCTATATTCAACATGGTATCTAGAGCTTAAGGTTATTTTGAATTTTTTTCCGCCTTAGACCACTATTGAAGTCGCCACCACCGCGCTATCGTTGTCGGTTATTTGGTAGTGTGAAAGTGCATGTCTAGGAAAGTTCGACAAGGAAAGACTTGGTATTTAAGCGTGTCCATTAGTGACCCACCTCTCTTTCCTGGGAACTTACCTGGTGTACTTGGTTCACGCCGTCGTCACTATCGCCTTCGCCCTTTATGAGTTCTTCCGCTCCTTTTAGTACTTCCAATTACTGTCAGATCCTGCATCTGATCCTTCCATCTACACTAACTATGTTAATGTGCACTTATCCATTGACAAGTTAACTGGCCCTAATTATGCCACATGGTCATCAGACGTCAGATTATGACTTAAGAGTCAGAAGTATCTTGATCATCTTGCCCCGAAAACACCTACTCTCACTCCTGGTGAGGAAGACCGTTGGGACACCATTGATGCTCAATTATGCGTGGTTCTCAAGGGTACCCTTGATCCTTCGTTAAAACAAATTTTTCGTTCCTACGAAACATGTGCAAAAATCTGGGAACATGCCAAGTTATTATACACCAATGATACTCAACGTCTCTATGATGTCTGTTCTAAATTTGTAGATGTTATTTCCTCTAAACATCAAGATTCTATGACTGATTATATGGGCAAAATTCATGCTCTTTTTCATGAGTTCAATGAGTTATTGCCTCCTTCCCCGAACCACGCCACAGAGATAGGACAACGATCAAAGTTCTTCATGCTAGGGGCATTACACGGACTTGCTGATCAATATTCACATATTCGTGATCAGATTTTGGGTTCTCCGGTTGTCCCCACCTTGACATCGACCTGCTCCACTCTTTTGCGTATACCAGCAAAACTCAACCCTGACACACCTGCTTCTGTTAATGATTCTTCTGCATTGGTATCTCACCGTGATGATCGAACTCGCCCTCGCAAACAGGGAAAAGGACGTCCTAAGTGTGAACATTGTGGCAAGCTAGGTCACAAGATTGACCAGTGTTATGCATTACATGAGTGTGAACATTGTGGCAAACTAGGTCACAAGATTGACAATTGTTATGCATTACATGGTCGTCCTACTCGATCTACTGCAGTTGCTCAGACTGATTTTTTCCCACCTTTATCTGCTAAGGATCCTCCTTCTTCTATTTCATCAGACACACCTGCTATGTTCAACAAATTTCTCAAATGGTATAAGGATCAACAGTCTTCTAGTTCTACTGTGTCTGTCGCACACACAGGTACATCTTTTGTTGGTCTGACCCAATCTTCTTCTGGTCCTTGGGTTTTTGATTCAGGAGCCACTGATCATATTACTGGTAACAAATCTTTGTTCTCCTCTTTATCCTCTCCTGATCCTTTACCTTTTGTTACACTAGCTGATGGCTCTAGAGTATCATCTCATGGTGTTGGAACTGTTAAACTTTTCCCTTCTTTAACCATTGATAATGTTCTTTATGTCCCTGGGTCTCCTTTTAACTCTGTTATCCATCGATCGTCTAACTCGTTCTCTTGATTGTGTTGTTTCTTTTACCAACAATTCTGTGTGTTTACAGGACCGGAGTTCGAAACAGGTGATTGGCACGGGATGTGAGTCTCATGGTCTTTATCATCTTCGTCCCTTTACACATGTTGGTGCGGTTATAGAGTCTCCCTCTCTTCTCCATGCTCAGTTAGGTCATCCAAGTCTTGCCAAGTTACAGCAACTTGTCCCTGCCTTATCTAAATTGTCTAGTTTGGCATGTGAGTCGTGTCAATTAGGCAAGCATAGTCGTACTTCCTTTCCTCGTAGTGTCACACGTGGTGCTTCGTCCCCTTTTGCCGTGGTTCACTCTGACATTTGGGGACCTAGCCGCGTTAAGTCTACTTTAGGTTTTCAATACTTTGTTACTTTCATTGATGATTATTCCAGATGTACTTGGTTATTTTTGATGAAAAATCGTTCTGAATTATTTCATATCTTTCAAACTTTTTTCAATGAAATTCAAACTCAGTTCGGTGTTTCTATTAGAGTTTTGCGCAGTGATAATGGTCGTGAATATCTTTCTCATTCTTTTAAACAATTCATGGCTTCTCATGGTATTTTGCATCAAACTTCTTGTGCTTATACACCTCAACAAAATGGTGTAGCTGAACGTAAAAATAGACATCTTATTGAAACAACTCGCACTCTTTTAATTCATGGAGAGGTTCCTCGGCATTTTTGGGGTGATGCTCTTCTTACTTGCATGTTATCTTGTTAATCGCATGCCATCTTCGGTTCTAGATAATAAAATACCTCATTCCATTTTATTCCCTCATGAACCACTTCATCCCTTACCTCTAAAAGTTTTCGGGTCTACATGTTTTGTTCATAATTTTAGTTCTAGTCTTGACAAGCTTTCTCCTAGATCACATAAATGTGTTTTCTTAGGGTTTACAAGATCACAAAAAGGATACAAATGTTTTTCTCCTTCTCTTAACCGTTATTTTGTGTCTCGAGATGTCACCTTTGATGAGTTCTCTTTTTATTTTAAAAGTCAATCTTCACCTCTGTCTCCATCCAATATTGTCAACACTCCTAGTACATTTAATGTTCCCGTTGTTTGTGACCCTCTAATTGTGTCTTCTTCACCATTAGATTCTACTCCATGATCAACTTCTTCTTCACTACCTCTTCAGGTTTATAGTTGCCGAAACCAATCACAACCACCACCATGTGACTCTACTCAAGTGCCAACTACTCTGTCTCCTCCGAATGTGACACCCGAGTCCGACCTTCCCATTGCCCTCCGAAAAGGTATCCGTTCTACACGTAATCCCTCTCCTCATTATATTGGTTTGAGTTATCATCGATTGTCATTACCTTTTTATACATGTCTTTCCTCTCTTTCTTCCGTGACCATTCCAAAAGCGTCCAGTGAAGCTTTAGCCCATCCTGGTTGGCGTCAGGCCATGTTAGATGAACTAAGTGCTCTTCATAATAGTGGAACTTGGGATTTGGTCTCGTTACCGTCTGGGAAATCTGTTGTTGGTTGCGGGTGGGTGTTTGCTATCAAAGTTGGACTCGATGGTACTATTGATCGCCTCAAAGCACGTCTTGTGGCCAAAGGTTATACTCAAATTTTTGGTTTGGATTATGGAGATACCTTTTCCCCTGTGGCAAAGATGACTTCGTTCGTTTATTTATCGCCATGGCCGCTCTTCAACAATGGCCTCTTTATCAACTAGATGTTAAAAATGCTTTCCTCAATGGTGATTTGCAAGAAGAAATCTATATGGAGCAACCTCCTGGGTTTGTTGCTCGGGGGAGTCTTCCGGGATGGTATGTCGTCTTCGCAAATCCCTATATGGCCTAAAACAATCTCCTAGGGCCTGGTTTGGAAAGTTTAGCAAGGTTGTTCAACAATTTGGTATGACTCGGTGTGAAGCGAGATCACTCTATCTTTTATCGACACTCAAGTGCTTGGATGTGTTTACTTGATAGTATATGTTGATGACATCGTTCTTACAGGTAGTGACAACCATGGCATCTCTCGAGTTGAAACAACATCTCTGTCACCATTTTCGGACCAAAGATCTTGGCAAACTTAGATATTTCTTGGGTATTGAGGTGGCACAGTCCAATGATGGTATTGTTATATCTCGGAGGAAGTATGTCATGGATATTTTAGAGGAAGCTGGGTTGATGAATTCAAAGTCTGTTGATACGCCCATGGATCCCAATACTAAACTTTTACCAAATCGGGGGAGCTTTTACCCGATCCTGAACGAGTATAGAAGATTGGTTGGAAAATTGAATTATCTTACAGTTACTCGTCCCGACATTTCCTTTGCGATCAGTGTGGTAAGCCAATTTCTTAATTCCCCATGTGAAGATCATTGGAATGCGAGTCATTCGTATCTTAAAGTATATTAAAAGATCTCCTGGAAAAGGATTGTTATATGATTCTAATAACCATACAAGAGTTGTTTGCTACTCGGATGCTCGATTGGGCAGGATCTCCTTCCGATAGAAGATCTACATCCGGATATTGTGTCTCCATTGGCGGTAACTTGGTCTCATGGAAAAGTAAGAAACAAAGTGTTGTGGCAAGATCTAGTGCGAAGCGAGAATATAGAGCTATGGCCTCAGTTGCTTGTGAACTTGTTTGGCTCAAGCAATTGCTTAGAGAGTTACAATTTGGAGATGTCACTCAAATGTCACTTGTGTGTGACAATCAGTCTGCTCTTCATATTAGTTCTAATCCTGTCTTTCATGAGAGGACCAAACACATTGAGATTGATCTGTCATTTCATTCGAGAAAAGATTATGTCCGGAGACATCAAGATCGAGTTTGTTAACTCAAGTGATCAGTTAGCAGATATTTTTACTAAATCTTTACGGGGTCCTAGAATTGATTATATTTGTAACAAGCTTGGCACATACGATTTGTATGCTCCAGCTTGAGGGGGAGTGTTAGATATTGTTTAGATATTATTTAATATTGTTAAGATATTGTTAGATATTAACCATAATATCAAACAATATCTTCTGTTTATTCTGTTACTTTCAGTTACTCTTTTAGTTGTATCTCTCTACTATAAATAGACTACCCTATGTGTGATTTATACACAAGGGAGATTAATCCCAAACTCTATTTCTTCTATATTCAACAGTTATAAAGAAAATGGGGAGAAGTGGTAATTTAATCCATAACAAGTTACAAACCAAACGTATTATGAACTACTAAATTCTAATGGCAGAAATAGGGAAGTCAAGCTTTAGGCAAAAACTACAGAATCTCAATTGAAATTTTTACTTTTTTTCCTGTCATATATTGTTTCATATTTAGTTGCTTATTTTTTTTGTATGTTTCCAGGTTATAAAAGCTTTGGGCAATCCAGAGTTCTTTAATATGGTTTTTCCCTTGTTGTTTGATCTATGCAATTCAGAGCCCCTTAAGTCTGGACAAGCTCCTTTGGTCAGTGATCCTGCTGAATCAGGTTATGACAATTTTAGGATCTTGATTTATATGGTGCAGCAAATTTTGTTCTTTATATCAGACTGTGTATGATCATAAATGAATCATTAATGCAGTTTTTGAGGTGGTGAAGTTTGTCATGCCAAGTAGTTAAGAGTGTTGTTTCGTGTATGACATTGTCAAGATGTCCCACATTGTGTTGATTTTTCCCTGACATTTTTCATTTAGGGGTCATTTGGTTTTATTGTGTTCTACTTTCAAAATTTGTATAGGAAACAGTGAAAATATTTTTTAATTCTTTTTTTATTATCATTTTTTGCTTTCACTTATTCTATACGAACTGCTGAAAATAGAAATCGTTTTATCACATGAAATGGACGATCCTCCTTGTTAGTGTTTGTTAAATAGTTACTATTAAATGGCTATTCAAATGGCCAGCCACTTAAATAATTTTTTATCTTTCCTTGTTACAAGTTGCTTAGTGTGCTAGTTACTGCAAGCATTTTGACGTTTTTTTTTTTGCAGGGTTGGGCAGTGAAGAGATTTCTGTTCCACATAACAAAATTGTTGACTGTTTAACCTCTTGTATCCGTGTGGCACATATAAATGATATTCTTGAGAAGCAAAAGAGCTTAATGCTCATGTATATAGCATTCCTGATGCCTGAACATAAATGGACTGGTATTCTTTATACTCCATTTTTCATTTATCGAAGTCCCTCCCATTTTTCTATTAATCCTAATTAAGAAAGTCATCTTTGTGCAGTCAAAACTACAGCCTTTTTATCCATAAAAGAACTTTGCTCAAGGCTCCAGAATGATGTGAAGGACTCCCAGGGAAATCACGAACTTGCTGGTGCAACTTCTTTTGTTCAGGAGGTGGTAATCGAGGCTCTCTCAGTTGGACTTCTAATACTTCAATTCTTGAATGATCTAAAATCAACTTTATTCTTTTACAGATATTCCACTCTCTGTCACCAAAAATACTACAGTGCATAAGTACAATAAAAATTGCACAGGTACGTCACTGTCTTGTTTGGTTGAACATTATTCATAAGTTAGATTCCCCTGCCCTATAGAAGTAAAAAGACAAAACCCTGGGGTAATCAGCATTTATTTGGAAGTAATTTTAGGCTTATAAAATCTTATATATGAAATTGCTGTGTTCTCATTTACTGGGCAGTTCCCATACATTTTAACTGTACGGAATATATTAGTAATTCAAATAGAATTTACTGCATACATTACATTTGGTTCCCTTACATAAATGGCAAAAGTAGACTCGTGAATAAAACTTGAGCAAAATTGGTATTGTAAGAAATATTATAAAATTTAATAATTTGACGTACAAAACTGACAGAATAGCCGAAGTTTAGGGACTAAATTTGAAACTTTTTCTTCGTGTGATCTTCTTTAATAAGTGGTGATTCTTGTGCCCAAAATCAGGTTCATATTTCAGCTTCAGAATGTCTTCTGGAAGTCATGAAACTTTCCATGGACGCCCCGTTTGTTGGCGCCGTCAATGAAACATTCAAGGACGAGCTGCTTCATCAGTACGAGATAGAGAAGAACGAAGGTGCAAAATCAATATTAAGAAAATGTGTCAACATTCTTCAAGACTGGAAACAATAAATTGTACGAGCCATATAGCCTTCATCCTTATTACAAAGTTTTGAGAAGATGAATAATTTAAGATGATAAATTATTATAGCTCGTGCTTGGTTTAGTGGGCCATATATAGTGATGATGACAATAATACTTGAACCCTTAGATAAAAAATCTGTTATTCCATGAAATTTTAACACCAAGGTTATCTATGGGTTTCACAATTTGAAATTACTTAAATCTTTCTAATTATATATTATGTATTAAATATGTTATTCTATTTTTTTAGTATAAATATAAATATGTTTTAACATTATTTTTTTGCTGTTTTATTTTTTTACACGTTTAAAGTAATATTATCAATTGTAATGATATACATAGATGGCGGACGCTCAATTCTCGACATTTCCTGGACGAATATTCTGGCCTGTTTTGATAATACTTCTATACTTTTATGTTTTATCTCAAGGAAATTTACATTTTTTAAAAGTTATTATGACGACAGGGTTTTCAAATTAAAAAGGGTATATTAAAAACTTATATTATATATAAAGAGTATTTTATTTTTGTCATTGTTCATAACATATATTTTTTATCAAATATAACATTATATATAAAATAGTTTTTTATATAAAAAATAATGCATGAAATATATTTAAAAAGTGAATGGAAAATATTTTTTAAAGAAATTAATAATATAAAAATAATAGGCAATTTTATATATTTTCACAATTATTGATAAAAAAGATGTCAGTAAAATAATGATATAATATACTTTTTGCAGTAAAATAATATTGATAGTAATCTCCACTTATTTAAAGGAGTAATATAAAGATAAATTGTATTTTAAATATTAATTTTATTATTTTAGAAACTGGACGTGAAGACTAAGAAAAAAGAAAAGTGAGATTTAACTTGATTCAATAAAGAAATGATAATATCTAATTATATCTCTTTTAAGTTATTAAATCATGTATTTTAATTTATAATATAAATATAAATTTATCTATATTAAAATAAATAAGTATGCATAATTTGTGAATCCATTTATCCCAAACCATAAATGAAATTATATTAAGTAATTTTTTACATCAAAATGACGTAAGTTTTTAGAAATTATCCATCAAATCAAATTTTATACAACGCCTTTTTTCATAATTGAATTAATTAGAAATTAATAGGCAATGATCATAGTGAATGAGTTTGCCTTTCTCCGTTCCCAGTGAAGTCTTTTCCTTCAAGAAGACGAAAGAAGAAGAAAGAAGGATTTGCTGTGCAAGCATGGATGAAACTGAATTTCAACGCCTTCTCCAACTATTCCCCGTTGTTCGTTGTCGCGATTACTGTGTACCTCTCTCTCTCTGTTTAGGGTTTTCAACTTTATGCCTTCTCCTAAATATTTTATCTATATTAGTGTGCATCAGCAATCTGGCTTCTCTTCCGGTTAAAGTTTCGATCTTTCAGAGACCCATGTTGTGATTTTTGCAATTCACATGATGCTTCTCGCTAATTCAATTATACCCTTTTTGGCTTTGACATTGGTTTAAGGTGGTAGTGTAGATTGATTTATTGTAGTGGCTCAATTCTTGAGGAAATTTGAGGTGAAAGGTTTAGGTTACCAACACCATAAGATATGGGACGGGCTTAGTATGAGATCTTGACAAGGTCCAGGCATGAATTGAGGTGGATTTTATAAGTAAGAAAGACGTGGCTTCAGTTTTAGTAGTAACATAGGATAATTAAATTATGTACTTATTTGATTATATGCTGATCTAGTTAAAAGAAATTTTTAGGAAAGATTTAGACAGTTTTACCTAGTGTTTGAAGTCAGAGGCTTTAGTAGGAGGTGGGAGCAGTGAGCGTAAGACTCTATGGATTTTTTGCAGATGTATGGTGTATTTTATTGAAATGGATTGCAGCTAAATGTTTAACTCTTTTAAACATTTAGCTGGGTTGTAGAGCTCGCCTGTTCTATAATTTTATTATTATTATTATTACTTTAGGAGAAGGATAGCTCATCCTCCTTCGGTTGTGTTTTCTCTCTTTTTCGTATTATAATACCTTTTTTATAGAAACTTACAAATTTCAAGGTATTTTGGTCAACTTTTGAATTCATTGAAACAATTTGAACATAAAACTGTTTGTTCTATGTGGGGGTTGATGAATGGGAAATGCTAGGATGATGTTAAGGCACATTTTATTTGACCTATTTTAGAGGCTAAACCTTGACCTTTCTCTGTTCGGTGCCTCCTTCCTGCGACGTTTGGATTATGGAGATTGTCTTTAAGTTGCTAGGATTTACCTCAGAAGTTGTCAATACTGATTATTATCTCATCTTATTTTGATTTTTATTTGATACAAAAATTGGAATATTTTTCCATTTTTGTGCAACTACGTGTGCAGTGTGCACAATGCTGGTGTTTTACTTTATATGAATCAATTGATTTTCTCTACCTAATTGTCTTTACGCTTTTGAATGGCTTTTGTGTTATTTCCTGAAATTGAGATACTGATTCAGCATTATCTGAAATTATATATGATGCAAAATTAAAAAAAAATAAAAATTCTTAGCTTATATAATTTACAATTATATCTGTGAGTGCATTCCATTACCAAATTGATAACTGTTAAATTTCAGGCACATGCAGCAGTATCCAGACGAATTCCACCTGGGGTAGCACAGAATGAGGTGGTAATTCTGAACCTGAATCTGCTGTACGCATTGATGTTTGCATATATATTTAATGTTATCTAACAAATTTGTCACTCCAGCTAAAGGAATGGCAAGATGCATGGGATGAAAGAGATAATAAGGATTCTGAGAAGCAAGGAATTAATCAACATGGTATCACTATCTTTGGCACGTTTTTATCAACTTCAGTTTTCTAGAAAGCACATCAACGTCCAGGAGTTACATGGCAATGTAGTTGATTATTTTGGTTATAACTTATAGGAAACAGAATTATTTTTTGAAGTTAATGCTATTCTTGTGTGAATTCTTCAAATCTACAGATTCATTTTGGAGCAAGCTAAAGTCAGAGGCTGCTAAGAAGGTATTATGAAATTTACCTGTTATGTGCATAGAAATTTTATTTTAGAAATAGCATCATAAATCATTATCGCCAACTTGCTTACACCTTTTTTGAACTCCTTAGAACGTTTGAAGCTGATTATGAATACTGAAGTTTTAATTGAAACTAATGGCATGCTTAGATTTATACATGGTTTGACCTACTCTTCCATAAGAGGAGTGTGACATATAAAGGGATACATTGGTTTTTATTTATGTGTCAATTATTATTTTCTTCATTAAACCCAAAACTTCTATTTTCCTTATTATTATTTTTTATTTGTAGTCCTGTTTGGTATGTCAATAAATCATTTGTTTTTGCATCATTGCTTCCTTCCCTTGTGGCAACTGTAACCTAGGTTACTTGATTTTCCCAGTTGAAATTTTCATTTAATGATGGAACTTTTGTTTTGACAATATTCTTTTTGGGTACTTTATTCTGTGAAGATAAAGATAGAAGCATTCTAATGTAATTGAATTTTTATTTTTTGGTTATAGGAGAGAAACATTCATATTAGTATTTCTGTGGTGCTATTCAGAATCCATGATATTTACCTGTCATTATTTAAATAAGCTCTCAAGTATGCTTTTTGAATGAGACTCAGCTCAATGATTTTAATGTTCCAACAGGTGGGTGCCGAAGAAGCAGATATATTTTGCAAGGCATTCCAACAGATCCACCAGAAACTAGTATGTGCAAAATAATTTTCATTTAGGTCATTGTTCCATAAAAATTACTACAAAAGATATAATTTACACGCTTTTAGAAATGGTCTAAAAGAGTTATGCATCCAAAAAGGTATATTTATTTTCTGTACAAATGAAGTTTTCTGTATTTTTGAAATGGAGTCTTTGTTGAAGAGACCAGAACATTATACATGTTTTGCAAGAAAGTAAAGAAATACGTTTTCTCCTGATATTCCAGAACATGAAAAAAAAGAAAGGAAAAAAAACTTGAAATGTTGCTTCTAATGCAATAAATAGAGACTGAGGTAACCTTTATAGTTTCTTGGGTTTGATTTATGTTTGCCATTATGTTTTAGGTGAATGAAGTGTTGAGTTTAGATGCTGCTCGAAGCTTCTTAAAATCATCCTAGAGTTCCAAAGAATTGCGCATGCTTTCAACCCTTGTGATTCAACAATCAGTCACTGTAATTCTTTTTGTACTGTATCAAATATTTTATAATTTATATGGGACATTTTTGTTTGTAGTTTTTTATTACTATTGTACTATTGAGAACTAATATTCTCTCCCACCCCTTTTTTCTTCATTTTCAGTTGTTTAAACTTAGCTTTTATTTGCCTAGAAGCTGGAGTGTTCCCATCATACTGGTGGTTCTGATCCTATCAGAAACATCTATGAAGTCTGTTTGTTACAGTTATATATTTATATATTTGTTTTGATTTTATATACAATCTAGCAAAATCTGATTAAAATCATAAATTATTTTGAATAAATTTCAGAAAAAATAGTTGTTACTCAAAGTGATCTTAATGTTTGCAAACATTAAAAGTAGAATTTTCTTCTTTAATTCAGTAACAGACTATATCATCCAGGTGATGGGTAAGCATTATTAAATAAGAACCAGAATTTGTATAAATTATATAGGGAAGTAAGTTTGACAAGTATCTATGTTTTGATACTTCAGAAAATATTTAATAAATTTGACAAGTGGCCACTCCAATCATAAATTATAAATGGGCACATGCAAAATTGGACAGCCTCCCATTTGGGTGGAGGCCAGTCAATTACCTATTTAATTCATTTGTTCTTTCTATTTGGAAATATATTTTATAAAGAGATGGTATATTTTATAATTTTATTTGATGATATTTCTTGTAAGTTGCATTTATATTTTATAAAATCGTTTATCATAATTTTTCATCTTAGTTTAGTTGGTGGTTGAAAAGAGATTTTATATTTTTTAATATTTTCAGAAATAGAAAAAAACAAAAAAGTGAAAAACATGTCATGTCATTATCATTGAAGTGGACGAAATTCAGAATCCATTTATATGGGAAAAGGCTGTCACTTCTAATGCCCACCAGAAGAAAAAAATATATTATGTTAGAAAAAGAATCAATTATATAATCTAAAATGTAATAAAAATAGAAATGGTTCATTATGTTAGCAAAAATTTAAACTTTATGTATAAATTACATTGATATAGTTTAAATTTTGGTATAAAATTGTTGTAGTTTAACAAGTAGTTCCACATTTAAGTTTTAACTGTGTGGTTTTATTTATGTTCAAAAATAAAGTTTTCTCCTTCATAATAATTTTATATATCTCAACGAAGATTGTCACCTATGAAATATATTGTGGTTTTGTTATAAAAAAAAAAAACAGTAGCATTGACACCTTTGTGTATTTTAAAATCTTAGTGACCTAACCTAACTAGTAACCTAACTACCAACTGAAAACCAGTTCCTCTTTCTCCGTCCTCATTGAATTCAAATAATTAAACAAAAAGTCAATGTCATTTCCCTTTGTTCCTACTCTTCTTCTTCATCTACCTCCTCCCCTTCTCTTCCTACCATTCATAGTTTTTTCCTCGTTTCATTTCTCCCTATTTCCAGGCTTTCCTCTACTCTTTTCCAGGTCTGTCTGCTTACCCTTTTCTATTTTCTTGCCTCCCAAAGGAACTTGCCAACCAAACTCTCAAATTAGAAAAAAAATATATATTTTTTTCTTCTTGTGCATTATTCATTGAGTATGGTAGTTTTCCATTTAATGTCTTTTTCAAAGTTTAATTAATTTATCTTTTGTGGAATTGGGTTTCAAGTTTCTACTGCAAGTTCTTGCTCTAGTTTTTCTATTCAATTATGATCAGCAGCAATTTAAATTCCCAACACAGCATATTTATCTTTATCATCTTAAAAGTGATACATTTTTCTCATTTGATACTATCCTTCCATTAGAAAAGGTTTTGAATTGATGTTGAGATAACAAGAACAGAACAAGCAAATTTTTATGACCTTGTGGCTGATGATTATTGATCACCTTTTTTTGTGACTGTGGTATGCCGATCCTTATTTGAGTTAAATCACTTCACACGTGCTTTGCAAAATGCTGAAATTTTGTAAGTGGAAAGCAACTCCTTTACATTCCAACCACAAATCCTGGCCCTTATTATTGCACGAAACCAAGTTGGAAGTGATTGTTACCCATTATTGCCCACTACAAAGCAAAAAGGAGTTGAGGATTGAAGTTAAATAATTTCTTCTGTCTAAATCCATTTCACTTCCCTCATTTTCCACTTGCTCAGACAAATATTGTGTGTGTATGTTTGAATTCAAGTTGGATGATCTAAAATTACGTTGAAATATCAGCTAATGTGATTTTAAGTTTCCATTTATTCTTACAAGCTTTTTCTAGCATATTTGGATTCACATTTGAAATACGAACTAACATGATTTTATGTAAATGTTCACATGTTTGATTTCAAGTTCAAAATTTGATTGAATATAGAATTGATTTGAGTTGAAAAAACTTTATTAACTTTTTGCGTTGAATCAAAATTTCATGAGTTTTACTACTAGCATACTTTTTAGAATAAAAACATCTAAATATACATCCTATTACTTCAAAATTACCAAATCAATTTTGCAAACGCTCACCCAAACATACTAGAATTAATCATAACTAAGGGTATATTTGGAGGAACTTCTCCATGAGCAAGCACTGATAGGAGAATAAAATAAGAAGAAAAATTAGAATTAGGTTCTTCATTAGTTAAAATTAGTTAATGTATCAGCTAATTTATAGAAGCTCTCACTCATTTAACTTCTCTAATTTTTTATTTTTGAACTGTGTAAGTTAATTTGAGCTTGTAAAAGAACTCTTCAATTTTTTTTTTCACTTGTTGAAGTGCTTGTGGAGAATTTTATTCAAAGAGGCCCTAACTATTTTTTCACTCTTTTCATATGACATGACATCATCTGTAGTAAATGGATCTATGAAAGGGGAACTACGTTATCTTGCTATTTTAGCTGATTGTGAAGCACAACCTTAATCTGAAACAGTATTACTTGCCTTTGAATCTAATTCTGAGAAGATAAATAGAAGCATAATAGGCAGGTGAAATATGTCTCTCCTAACTGCCTGGATAGTGATAGCTAAATGAGGTTTTGAATAGGTTCTTAATACACAGACTTACTCTCTCATATCTTTGGCTAGCTCCCTTTAACCAATACACTTCACCATGTCAAGTTTGGAAGAACCACTTGGTCTTGACAAGTTGCCAAGTATGAACACCATTGAAAGGATTCAGAGGTTCTCATCTGGAGCTTGCCGTCCCAGAGTAGATAACTTGGGCATGGGAAACTGCTGGATTGAAGGACGAATTTGCAGCACATCCAACAACTGCAAGTGAGTCATATATTACAACTTAAGTTAGAGACTTAATGAATTTTATTGCTTTATATTTCATTGTATAGTATTTGATTTTTACCTGCCTACTATATCCATAATACCTTGTATCTTTATGTAGTGAAGATGATGATGAAGAGTATACAACAGAGACATTCCCATGGAAAAGACAAACAAGAGACTTATCCCTAGATGACTCCTTCAGTCACAAGACTGTGACCAAAGGGAGGAAATCAATGAAATTTGGAATGATTGATGATTCATTCACTGATTGCCAAACAAGTCCAAAATGTCACACCAAAGATTTGCAAGGATTGGCTTATAAGGTATTTATTTCAGTGGCTGCTACATTATTTTCACTGTTCTTTGTTCAAGTTTTTTCAGCTACTCTCTTACTTTCCAATTGTGGAATATATTCAAACTTTCTGTTGTCAGTTTATTTTATCACATTCCTTTGTCTAGTAATTAGCATATTTTCAATTTTTAAGCGGATAATGGCATGATGCAGTTTCTGAGCGGTATACCAAAGTTTGTAAAGATAGTAGAAGTTGGTCCAAGGGATGGATTACAGAATGAGAAGAAAATTGTACCTACAGCTGTAAAGATTGAATTGATTCATAGACTAGCTTCTACCGGGTTATCTGTTATTGAGGCTACAAGTTTTGTGTCTCCCAAATGGGTCCCACAGGTACAATGGCTTTATCTTGTGGTAACTTGACATTGATGATTTTTAAGAGTGATGGGTGGAGTAAAAAATTTCCAAAGTGTTTGTATCTGACATTAGTTCTCAATCTCACGGATCAAGTCGTGTTTACTACGGAAGCTTTTGGATGGCTTCTATTGGATAAGAGCCATTCAATTGTACAATTTTTTAATGTCTTTCATTGAACAAAAGCTTTAGCTTGATTATAGAATTCTGAATGACTCACAATTGTTATCCTTTTGCATTCCATCTGATTTTAAATCATTATTTTTCTTTATCTTATAGTTGGCTGATGCAAAGGAGGTAATGCAAGCAGTTCATCACTTAGGAAGCATCAGAATGCCAGTTCTGACCCCTAATTTAAAGGTACAAATATTTTGATAAACCATATCATACGATTTGTATTCAGATCTCTGACCTGTTACATTTGTAGGGTTTTGAAGCTGCAATAGCTGCTGGTGCTAGAGAAGTTGCTGTTTTTGCATCAGCTTCTGAATCATTTTCAAAATCCAACATTAATTGTAGTATTGACGAGAGCCTTACTCGTTACCGAGCTGTTACTCGTGCTGCTAAACAACTCTCAATTCCTGTTCGAGGGTATGCCTTCAATTTTCTTCTTAATTATTCCAAGATTACATCATATTAATGTCTGCTTCAACATCTCTATTGGGAAAAACCTTTCAAAAAGGAGTCAAGATCAAGGTCTAGTAGTTGGATGCATGAAAGTGACATTGGTTGATATCGTAGATTTTGCTTGACACACCATTCTGTTTCTATTCTCTTATTCCATATTTCCTTTAGTTTCTTTACATTGAAATGTGATAGGTATGTATCATGTGTTGTTGGATGCCCGGTAGAAGGACCAATCCCTCCCTCAAAAGTGGCATATGTTGCTAAAGAACTGTATGATATGGGTTGCTTTGAAATCTCCCTTGGCGACACAATTGGAGTTGGCACACCAGGTAACAAGTTTGATGAGTTCTATACTTTGGAAGTTTAAGTGATCAATGTTTGATGGACAAGATTCTCTATTATTGTAGACCTTCTTAAGTATGAACTTGATAAGGTGAAAACATCAATGGGCAGAACTTGGGATGAATGTTAAACTAAAGTTTTTTTTTTTTTTTTGTATTTTACTTGGAATTTGTTATTGGTTTTTGGAATACTATTCTTGTGCTTATATTGTGTCCTATTCATTGTGTTGTTTTCAGGAAGTGTAGTTCCTATGCTTTTAACTGTGATGGCTGTTGTTCCAATAGAGAAACTAGCTGTCCACTTCCATGACACTTATGGGCAATCCCTTCCAAATATACTTGTGTCCCTCCAAGTAAGTCATCAACTAAATTGCTTGAACCTTTGACTTGCTAATCTTTTGGTGTGTAAAACTTGTTGAGTTAACTAGTTGTAACAATCGCATCCAAACATGAATGAACTTTTTTTTTGTTTTGGCACTCTCAATAAAAAGGGATATTAATTTGTGTGTGAACAGATGGGGATTAGCATAGTGGATTCCTCAGTTGGTGGTCTTGGTGGGTGTCCATATGCTAAAGGTGCTTCAGGAAATGTTGCCACTGAAGATGTTGTGTACATGTTGAATGGACTTGGTGTCAAAACCAATGTTGATCTTGGAAAACTCATGTTGGCTGGTGAATTTATCAGCAACCATTTGGGAAGGCCTTCAACTTCAAAAACTGCCATTGCCTTGAACCGAGTCAGTAGTGATGCCTCCAAGATATCATCATGTTATTGAGTGTACCATCGAAGGAATTTATGTTATCAAGCTTCAAGTAGTGACAGATAATAATCACTGAATACATATTATGATGTTCCTTTGTTCTTCTGCATGCTACTACAAGACGAATAACATGTTCACTCTGTAATGGCCTAACATATTTTTGGTCATAAAATTATATCTTAGTTTCTAAAATTGAAGGTTTCTGGTGTAAGACTCTTAAATATTAATAATAATATGTCAAATTCTAGAAATTCATTTGGGTTTTTATATTGTTAAGAATACGATAACAATTTCTAAAACTAAATTGTTCATTTACTTGAAATAAAATTTAAGGGGACACCTTTTCAAACGAATAACAGTAACAAAAAAATTAGAAATCTTACAGAAACTAAGTTTTTTTTTTTTCCCTCCAACAGAGTGTGACTTCTATTTCCCAAACACCAAAAAAAATTGATTTGATATGTATCGAAAAATATTATCTCAGCAATCACTTTAAATCACATATAACGTAGTATTTATATGTAAACCAATAAGTATTAAAAAATATTTTTAAACTTCTAAAATATATAAGAAACGAAATATAAACTGAAATATTAAAATAATATTTTTCCTTTTCTCATAAAAAAAAAAAAGAAAAAAACTAAAATACATTACAATATTTACAGAGTAACAAGTTTCAAATATCTTCTTAATAAAATTTACCAAAACCAAGTGCATGTTTAATAATAATAATAATAATAATAATAATAATAATAATAATAATAATAATAATAATAATAATAATATTATTATTATTATTATTATTATTATTAAAAAAAAACACTTTCCCAGGAGTGTTACTGCGGATGTTTTGTAGACAAACGCAAAAACAAATTAATATAGAAACCACTAAAGTTGAATCAAGGAACTTTAAACTTTATATTTACGACTTTAGTTTTACATAATAAAATTTAAAATAAATAATTTTATAATATACAATTAAAATCCTAAAAAGTATCTTTAGAGATATATTGAGTATAGTTAGCTTTACAAAAATTGTTTCCGGCATTTAGCACGCTAACGAAGAAACTTTACCTTGGTAAACCCTAAAATATGTATTTTTAAAGTTTTGAAACAAAGTTGTTAATATTTTAGGGAAATTCGAGCTAGGGTTCTTCAACCTAAACTTTACAAGAGCCCCAAAACATTTACCCCTTTGTGAGCATGCTGATAAAGAAATTATAATCTTTTTGACAGTTTTTGTGTCATTGTGTGATGATTATGTGCTTGCTAGCTTGTGACAACATGAATCTGACAACACTCATAGGATGATTCATCTTCATACGTATCATGCGAATCCTAAAATAATAATAATAATAATAATAATAATAATAAAAATGCATGCCCATGCCATCATCTACTACTTGTGCTTTCTTCATCTCTTCAAAATTTACCATGCAGTTCAAATTATCTGCATTATGGCACTCACAAAACTTAATTATGAGATTATCAAAGACAAAGCTCATTCATGATGAAGAGGGACACCACCACTCCCAAAGGTTCAACTTAACAAAATGATCATCTTCTGATCCTGTTATGTAGCTTTGAGTCTTCACTGACAAGAGGCACAGTTTCTTCTTCTCTAAAAAGAGAGAAGAAAAAACACACAATTTGTTGAGTACATGAGGCTATGATTAAGGGAAGGAAATGAATTGGTGAAGAAGCAAAATGAAATAATTAAGGCCTCTTTTTTTACTTTTCTTTTGACTCTTTTTTTACCAGTCAAAGACATGGCTCCCCTCTACCATAATTGGAATCTCAAATGCTTCTACTTAGAATAAGTGATTATGATTTCTTAATTGGTCATGGCTCCTACAATGAGCTTATTTCTGGCTTCATCTAAATTTCTCAAATAATTAGGCATATATATGCATGAGGCCATTGCTGTTGTTTTTGGTTCCATTGACACTAACAGTGATTGAATAGTAATTCACTTATTACAATTTGTGCACCATCTGTTGGTGTGTAGCTGTATCCAAACTTCAACTTCCACACTTTTCACCTTCACATGTAAAAGGATATGATTCACTCAGACATCTTTGACTAAAATTTTTTATATTTTTTCTTCTTTCATATTTATATTTTTTCCTACTTTTATAAGAAGACTGTCATTGATGAATATGATAAAATAAGTATGTTTGTGTTCTGTTCTGAGTACATGGGAAGGAATGGCCTGTCTCTGGCATGTTCATCAATTCCCATTTTCCAACAGAAATTGCAGAAATTCATGTTTAGATCATGGTGAAAAATATACTACTTGTTATAAAAACCATGCCATCACATTCAACTAACACAAAAAGGCAAAAGCTTGAAATCTACAAAAGTAGATTTTTTCAAAAAACAAAATAAAAAATTGTCAAGTTTTTCTTGCAAGGGACCACCAAGGAGTAAAACAAATTTAAAAATGACCACAACCAAAAGCCATGAAATTTTCCACTTTTATAAAGTGAGTAAAGACATCATCATTCTTTGTTAGAAAAAGATTAATGTGCTAGTTATTAGCATTTTCATGGCTTTCTTGCCAAACTCCCCTCCAGTTTGACCAAATTATTAATTTTCCACTGTTCAAGCTGAAAGAAAATAAAAGTAAATGTACAGACCTGTGAATTGAAATAATATACTACAGCACGATCAAACAATTGTGAAACTGCCAGAGCCAAAATTAACCTTGGTGTTTCTAGATTTCCTCCATGCAAAATAATTATTTCAGAACCTAAGATCTAGTGTAGCATTTGACCATGTTTCTAATATGCTCAAGTACTACAGAACTTTTGGAATTTTGTAGTTTGCAGTCGCATATGAAATTATGAACCTGGATAATTGCTTTTTCTTTAATGCTTATTTCTCCAGCACTATTTTGGTTGGTTAGTGGATTCCACCACTTGAATTTTACTTTTCATACATTACTCATATGGAGCCAAAATTAAACTCAAAGCAAGTTGAGAATACAAAATTCATAGATATTGAAAATGTTAAACTTTCTTTATAAGAGAAATTATATGATCATAAAATCTTATTCAGTGTCTTCTCTTTTTAACTCGAGTTTCTCTCACACATGAATGCAGTGAAAATGTGGATACATGGGCCATAATAAGTATTCACAGGAACATCACATAACCTCCAACAGAAGTAGTAAAGGCTTCCACTCTCGCTCTCTCTGGTCCATAGGTGTTTCCCAAGTAAAAAGCATCCAAACACACTCTGCACCATATTTATTTATTTGCGTTTAGGCACCAACCCCTATGCTATGCCATGCACATTCATTGACTCCTATCTGTTATTGACTATCCTCATTTTCAGAGCTCACACTTCAAGGTTCCTCGCACCATACATATACAATACATGTTTGGCAACATCACACTTTCACCAAAAAGTACCACCCTCCTTCAAACCACACCTTTACTTCCCTTCCTTTCATCTAACCTTTATTCTTTCTTTCTAAGTGTTTCTAGTGACACCCTTTTTGAATCTGATCCAAAAGAAGCTGATTTTGTTTCTTTCTTTACCGGGTTTTGAGCCAATTATAAGCTATTCATGCACCATCTGTGCCTAATTGAGAGCATGAGGCTGATTCTACTACCTTGTTTCCCAATCCTACTGTTGATTCTGTTCTTGATCACATTCTCATCCTCTGCTGCTGAAGGGTATGCAAAATCTGAAAGCCTTACAAATGAACCTTTGTCAAATCTTAGCCACCTTCATGATAAAGGAGGTTCAAGACAGAATACAGGTGAAGCTGTTCTTGGTGATGAGAAAAGGATAATCTACACTGGTCCTAATCCTTTGCATAACAGATAAGTCGACATTTTTCGTTCTATAGGGTCTTCTTTTTCCTTGTTTCTTTCAAGTCCTCTCTGTACTTCCTGTATATACATATATAGTTTTCTTTTTCTTTTTTAAATTTTTACTGTTTTTCTTGTTCTTTCTTCCATATCTTTTTACATAACAGTTTCTTCCGGTGTATTGTCAACAACCATGTGTAAGATTGCAACGTTACCAATCAATATCAAAGAGAATCTTGGCTAATGGTTTCAAATCCACGATGCTTTTGGAATAAAGTTTAATTTCTGTGTGTAAAAGATGGAACTGATTTTTCATTTTTTTATGTCAACTAATCATGTTAATAGTAAACTTTTAACGATTATGGTAAAAAGTTAACAAAATTATAAAAAATGACAATTACTAATTATCTGAGAATATAAAAAGAAAGAAGATGCAATGTTTGCATGATGGATAATTTGTGGTGAGTGACTGTCTAATATAATATTTTAATGTTTGCCCATTTTTGTATTTATTTCCATGCAATGCAAAGGGAAAAATGGCGTACACAAATACTGACACAACTTTTTACATTTTTTTTAAATATATATTATATTATTCATATAAATATTTAATTAAAAAGATTAAGTCATTTATATTGTAATCATATTTAAATTATTTATATTTTATAATGTTTTTTATTATTTTTATTAATTTATTAGGATAAGTAATAAAAAAAGTTTTATATCTCCATGGAATATTTTATTTAATATTACTTTAAAAACTACTAAAAAAATATTTCTTCAAAATTGAATTTCGTAGCTCATGTTTGAATTCAGATTTCACTAATGAGATTAATAAGAAAAATTTGATATTAACGTTATTTTTTTATTTATATTTCCTTTTTTACAAAAATCATATTTAAGTGATTTATGTTTTATAATATTTTTCTTATTAATTTTAATAATTTATTAGGATAAATGATAACAAAAATTTTATATATCTAAGGAATATTTTATTCAATATTATCTAAAGTACTTAAAAAAAATATTTATTCAATGTCTACGAATTTCATGATGTTAAAATAAAAAGTAAATTCAAAATAGACTAGACAAAATATTTCTTCAAAAAGTCTAATTTTGTTGCAATTTCAACAACAAATTTAACAAACTGTTTCACTACAAATTTCACTTCTCAAAATGAAAATAAATTTGATATTAACATTATATTTCATCTAATATTTCGTTTTAAACGACTTTAATTATGTCTCAGTCATTTTTTTTTAATATTTTTTATTACTTTTACTCATTTATTTGGATATATAACCAAAAAGTTGTATATATCCATCAAACTTTTTATTCAACATTATTTTTGAAAGTAAAAAAAAAGTTATTTAAAGGTTGATTTCTGTAGTCGAACATATTTTATCAATAAAATTTACCAAGTATGCTACTATATATGAATTTCATGGTCTTAAATTGAAAAGCAATTTTAATATAAACTCGAAAAAATATATCTTCAAAAATAAAAATTTGCTGCAATTTCAACAATAAAATTAACAAAATGTTCCACTTTGAATTTCACGGTCTAAAATGAAAACAAATTTTAAATTAACATTATATTTCATCTAGTATTTTTTTTTTTAAATGACTAAAATCATGTCTCAGTCATTTTTCTCATATAATACATTTTTATTATTTTTACTCATTTATTATATCCTATCATGAAACTTTGTATTCAACCAGTTGTTTTAAAGTACCAAAAAAGTAAACAATTTTAATTTCATGAAGTTAATTTTGTCGTATATAGCTTGTTCAAGAATTTGTAATAAAAATAATATAATAATAGGTTAACCTAAATCGTATTTTTGAAGAGAATTATTTTGTTTTATTTAAATTTTGATTTTTTAATGTGAAAAGCTAAGAAATAAAAAGATTTTGTAATTGTCAATAAAAATAAGTAATTTGAAAGCAATAACTTAATCTATTAATAATAATAAATGAAAGTATTAAAAATAATAAATGAAAGTATGTAAATGAAAATTATAAATCTAAATTATGAAAGATTTTAAAGTAAGAATGAAAACTTATAAATCTAATTAATAAAAACTATAAATGTAGATAAATAAAAACAGTGAAGATTATAGTAAGTGATTGTGTTGATTCTTTAATCATAAATTTGTCTTTATAATTACATTAATTATCTATGACATTAACTTGTAATTACAATAATAAATTCACAATCGTAAATTATTTGTATTCACAATTTAATTTCTAAACCAAATAATCACTCAAATCTAGAAATTAAATCATCACATAAAAACATTTAATCAAATAACCTCAATTAGATCGATGATAATGGTTTAAAATCAGTTAAAATTATTAAGAATTAAATCTAAATCATAAAAAATAAACTTTAATAGGTGAAATAGGAAAATCAAGAAAAAATAAAGAAATGAGTGGAAGAGAAAAAAAAGGTACACCAGGTATCTACTACATATTTGATACTATCAAAATGCAAAGCAATTTTAAAATAGACTAGTGTAATTATTTCTTAAAAAAATTGAATTTAGTTTCAATTTCAACAACGAAATTAACAAAATGTTCCACTATAAATCCTACTGTTTAAATTGAAACAAATTTAATATTAATATTAAAGTTGTATACATTTATGAAACTTTTTCTTCAACGTTGTTTTTAAAAAGTATATGAAACAAATATTTGTTTAAAGGTTAAATTCGAGGTGAGAACACATTACATCAATGAAATTAGCCAGTGCTACTACTATTTAAAATGCAAAGATATTTTAAAATAGACTAGAAAAAAATATTTCTTCAAAGGTTAAATTCCGTAGTTGGGGTTTGAACCCAAATTTCATCATAATGAAATTAACCAGGTGTGCTACTACGGATTTCATGGTATCAAATGCAAAACAATTTTAAAATACACAAAAATAATTATTTCTTCAAACAAATTGAATTTAGTTTCAATTTCAACAACGAAATTAACAAAATGTTCCAGTATGAATTTTACTGTTTTAAATGAAAACAAAGTTGATATTAACATTTTATTTAGTCTATTATATCCTTTTAGACGACGAAAATCATATCTCTGTTTTTTTTTAATAATATATTTTTATTATTTTTACTCATTTATTAGCATACGTAAAAAAAAAAGTTATATATATCCATGAAAATTTTATTTCAACATTATTTAAAAAAAATTATTAAAAAAATATTTGTCTAATAAAGGTTAAATTTTGCAGCCGGAACGAACGCAGATTACATCAATGAAATTAACTAAGTGTGTTGCTACGGATTTTATGATGTTAAAATGTAAAACAATTTTAAAATAGACTAGAAAAATATTCCATAAAAAATTTGAATTTTTCTGCAATTTCAACAACTATTATAACAAAATGTTCCCCCACGAATTTTACAATTTAAATTGAAAACAAATTTAATATTAACATTATATTTTATCTAGTATTTCCTTTTGGACAACTAAAATCATGTTTCAGTCATTTTTCTTTTATAATATAATACTTTTTTATCATTCATTAATTAGGATACGTAAATAAACGATTTGTATATATCCATAAAACTTTTTTTTCAAATTTATTTTTGAATGTACCAAATATTTATTTTCTATAAAGGTTGAGTTTCGTAACCAAGGTTTGAACCCGAATTTCACTATTTTGAAATTAACACGTTTGCTACTCCGGATTTAATGGTATCAAAATGCAAAGAAATTTTAAAATATACTAGTGTTAGTGGAAAATCGAGAAAAGCGATCGAAAACGAAGGAAAGGAAAGAGAGAACACGTGACTCGATAAATCAAGATAGATAAAAAATCATTCGATGTCTAAGCACGTAACACATAACATCGAGAAGTACAATCGATAATCGAAGGAATGATAGTCAAATGCCTATTGTCAAATAAAAACCTAAGAAACTAGAGTGATAAGACGTTAAGGTTGAAAAGGAATCGTAAGCAATTCGAAGTTCTCGAAAGTGTAAAATCGAAAATGAAGAAAGCTAACCTACACAGACATCGAAAACTTTGGCCAAACCATAAAGAGAAGAGTAAGTCAAACGCACGGATAAAGAGCAGTTTCGAAACCATGGAGGAAATCAAAGATCGTGAGAACGTGGGAAACCGTAGAAGATAAACCGCCATATGCACGTAGAACGTGGTAGCAGTCGTGTTAACTGCTCTTGGAAGACTTGAACGATGCACTATAAATAGAGCAAAGAAGGAAGAAATAGGGGAGCGGAAATTGGCAGAGAACAGAATCAGTAGTGAAAAGTCTACCGAAGAAACGACGAACACCATGAAGCTTCTGGCAATCTGGATTTCCTTGCTCACTGAGTACATTTACCGCTTTCTGTATTTTCCTTGGTAATTTATTTTGATGCAACTTAAATTTAGCAGTTTTATATTTCTGTATTTTCGATTCCTTGTCATTTCAATTCAATGAAAGTTTAAGTTTTTGTATTCTCGATTTCCTGTTATTTAACATTCTGCAATCTCGATTTCCTGTCATTTACTTTTCTTGCAATCTCGATTTCTTGTCATTTACATTTGCGCTATTTTCGATTTCTTGTCATTTACAATTAATGCAAATTTGGGGTTTTCGCACTTTACATTTCCTCGCAATTTAATATTTCGTTTCTCGATTCGATACTTTTACTGCTTTCGGTATTATACATATAAAATACTAAAAAATAGCATTTTGATATTCTGTAACTTTCGATTCTCATACACGTTTTCGATTGAAAGTCAGACTGCTAGCCTAAGTAAAAAGAACTTACGTGGGAGGATTTTGATTAGGACCAAAACACCTTTTAGAATCGAAATCGATCGAAATTCCACCAAAAACAAATTGGCGCGCCAGGTAGGGGTTCTTGTGTTGAGAAACACAAAATTGGTTAGTTCGAGGGTGTATGAGATTAAGGAGTGGGAGAGTCATGAGTCAGAGTTCATCAAGTAACCAGAGTAACACTGAGGGATTAAATGGGTCACACCCATCAAATACT